CTTACTTGCTACGGAGATTTCCGAAAACAAAACTTGCCAAGATTTTCCGCTAATAAAGGGGAAATTTCAAAACAGATTTTATTGTTTTTGCATACGACAACTCTATCGCATACACTTCTTGCATGCATGCTATCCAAAAACCAAGAAAAGAGGTGCCCATTTTCAGAATTTTCGGCAACAGCGATTCAAAGAGAATACAAAAAGCCATCTGTTGTGTACAGTTGATTTGGTACATCAAGACCTATATAATATTTGGGTAAGCGCTTTTTTTCACTGGTCTGAAGCGGTACAAATAATAAAGGAATTTGGACGAAACTTTGCACACATAAACTTTGGGGTGGGGCGGATGTCACCAAGCTTTCTCACCGAAAATCATCGACTGGCGCTATGATTTATCGATTTTTTGCGTTTTTGCTTAGCGATTTCATTATGACCGGCCCAAAAAGGTTAAAAAAAATGTAATAGAATTCAAGCAGAACCTTACACACATAAATTTCGACTTGGGACGAGCGTCAGTAAGTTTTTGACCGTAATAGGATCTACCGATTTATTGATTTTCTCGCATTTTAGCTCTGTAGAGCTAAACAATTGGAAGGAAGCTACATCTAAGCATGGTTAGTCCAAATATAATATTTCTAACTTCAATTTATAGCTTTTCACATTTTTTAATTTTTGTATGTCCTTTTCTACAGACTAGCTGATATCTAACTGTGCCAAACTTTGGCGGCGGGATTCGTCGACCGGCTTAGTTCACCTCAGTCGATCAATACCTATATGGTATTTAGCCCCTTTTTCAATCAGTACTTATGTAATATTTGATTTAGCCCCTTTTTTATGTTCGCTGGAAATGGATAGAAAAATGGGATTATGGGGTCTAAACCAAATTTGGCAGAAGTAATGCATGGAGTGTGCCGTTGTTAATAAGCCATTTTGTTCGGTACACACGGTTTGTTGCTATCAATTTATGGATTTTTGCACTTTTCGACTAGAAAATTTTTTATATTTGCTTGAAAGCGATAAAGTGCGGTTCATAATTATACGAACACCCAAAATTTTATAAGTTTTCGGATTATTTGGGAGAAACTCAAAGAACCGTTGATATCACTCGATAGAACACAACCGAAAACGTTATATGATCCATAAGAATGGATATTTATGTCGACCTTAGGAGTGTTTTTGCGCCCAAGGCTCCGGCCAGACTTCACGCGACTTAATCGTCGCGATCTAACAGTTTCTTCTGTTACAAATTATGAAATCAAAGCACAATAAATACTCATTGACACTATAGTTTCAAGGATCCTTATTTTCCAATGAAGAATTCTTAGCATTGAATTCACATTTCTATGAACCCTTCAGAATCCAAAATGCGGTTTTGTTTTTATTATTTGCAGTGAGTTGTGAATTTCGAATTTTTTTTCACTATTATTTTTTATATTCTCAAAATCAGCAGATGTGGCGTATCATCTTTTATTATTGACTTTTAACTCAATTTGATTGACCTACTTTGCCTTATTTAGCTCTCTTAACACTATATATGAAATGATCATTTTGGCAAAGTTTTCTTACCGTTATATCCATGACATTTTCCTGTAACTGTTCTCGTCCGTTCTGTAAAAGTCCATGACATTTTCCTGTAACTGTTCTCGTCCGTTCTGTAAAAGCGAGGAAAAAACGCTAGAAATTTGAAAAATTTCTGAACTTCTCAGCTTCTGCTATCTTTGAGTTCTTGAAGTGATTTGAATTTGTGATCATTTCCCTTCAAGAAAACTTTCCTTTGTTTACCTTTGCTTATTTGCATGTTTCTCAAAAAACATGGATTTTCTGCTGTTCAAAATGTGGTGCGTAGCAAGTGGTAGCGTAGTTACTGTACCATCTGCAGCGGCTTTGCCGGCAGCTCTGGCGGCAAAGCCGCTGCAGATGGTACAGTAACTACGCTCGTCGTCTAAAGCTCTTGCCGAGAGGTTTTCTCGCACCTCGTCGCTCTGAGGTGCGATATCAGCCTAAGGAAAGCGTGGTATACTCGATACTATATTATTTTGAATAGCAGAAAATCCATGTTTTTTGAGAAACATGCAAATAAGCAAAGGTAAACAAAGGAAAGGTTTCTTAAAGGGAAATGATCACAAATTCAAATCACTTCAAGAACTCAAAGATAGCAGAAGCTGAGAAGTTCAGAAATTTTTCAAATTTCTAGCAATTTTTCCTCGCTTTTACAGAACGGACGAGAACATTTATAGGAAAATGTCATGGATATAACGGTAAGAAAACTCTGTCAAAATGATCATTTCATATATAGTGTTAAGAGAGCTAAATTAGGCAAAGTAGGTCAATCAAATTGATTTAAAAGTCAATAATAAAAGATGATACGCCACATCTGCTGGTTTTGAGAATATAAAAAATAATAGTGAAAAAAAATTCGAAATTCACAACTCACTGCAAATAATAAAAACAAAACCGCATTTCGGATTCTGAAGGGTTCATAGAATTGTGAATTCAATGCTAAGAAGTCTTCATTGGAAAATAAGGATCCTTGAAACTATAGTGTCAATAGGTATTTATTGTGCTTTGATTTCATAATTTGTAACAGAAGAAACTGTTTGAATTCCTAATGATTCATTTTCGTAATTGTTTGTGGATTTTTGGAAATTTTTCGGTGTGGTTTTGCATTCGACTGTATAGTTCTCAATGAAATATGGCTTTCTTTCTGGTGTTTAAATTATATAGATATTGAGGATATCACGCTATCATTGGCTCACTCAATTTGATTGACTTTGCCTTATTTAGCTCGATCAACATCACTATGTATGAAATAATCATTTTGACACAGTTTTCTTAACGTTATATCCATGACATTTTCCTGTAATTGTTCTCGTTCATATTTCGACGTAAAAGAGAAAAAAATTTTCTTAAAAATTTGAGAATTTTTAATTTTTTCAGCTTCTGCTTCCTTTGAGTTTTTGAAGTGATTGGATTTTGTGATCATTTTCCTCTAGAAAAACCCTCCTCTTCACTTGTTTAAACTCTTCAACAATTTTCAACAGGTCTGTTATTCAAGTATCAGGCTAATTTTTTCTGTTGCTTCATTTATTTATCTATCTATCATGATTTATAATAACGGACTAAGGGTGCTTACGTGTGTGTGTGTGTGTGTGTGTGTGTGTGTGTGTGTGTGTGTGTGTGTGTGTGTGTGTGTGTGTGTGTGTGTGTGTGTGTGTGTGTGTGTGTGTGTGTGTGTGTGTGTGTGTGGTGTGTGTGTGTGGTGGGTGTGTGTGTGTGTCTGTGTGTGTGTGTGGTGCGTGTGTGTGGTGTGTGTGTGTGTGTCTGTGTGTGGTGCGTGTGTGTGGTGTGTGTGTGTGTGTCTGTGTGTGTGTGTGTGGTGCGTGTGTGTGGTGTGTGTGTGTGTGTGTCTGTGTGTGTGTGTGGTGCGTGTGTGTGGTGTGTGTGTGTGTCTGTGTGTGTGTGTGTGTGGTGCGTGTGTGTGGTGTGTGTGTGTGTGTGTGTCTGTGTGTGTGTGTGTGGTGCGTGTGTGTGGTGTGTGTGTGTGTGTGTCTGTGTGTGTGTGGTGCGTGTGTGTGTGTGTGTGTGTGTGTGTGTGTGTGTCTGTGTGTGTGGTGCGTGTGTGTGGTGTGTGTGTGTGTGTGTGTGTCTGTGTGTGTGTGTGTGTGTGTGTGTGTGTGTGTGGTGCGTGTGTGTGGTGTGTGTGTGTGTGTGTGTGTGTGTGTGTGTGTGTGTGTGTGTGTGTGTGTGTGTGTGTGTGTGTGTGTGTGTGTGCGTGTGTGTGTGACGAGATTCACAAAACGCGTCCAAGGTATCAAGCCGCAATTTTTTGCACAACACGCACTCCCTCACTCTGCGAAAACAAAACAAATTGATGGTGTGAATGGCGGGTTTGTCACAGTTTTACATGATCATTTTAGGAGATTTTTGCACAGGGATGTAGGGTCACGACGGATACTATCTTTACAGCGACTACTAAGGCATGAAAAAATTCAAAAGTGCTTTAAATTTGCATTTACTCTCCATATTCCAAAGTTTCATACACACAAAATATCGATCCTACACGAAAAAGCTTTCGGAATGAATAGTTGTTTAGGATTTATTCATGAAGGCAGACATTTCGCGGTAAGTTCAATGTCATGTTATGCCAGAATAGTGAGGCGTACAGATAGGGAAACCAGTGTGAGCCTCTGCGAAGCAGAGGTGATGCACTGGTACATGTATAAAACACGAAGTTTGTGATAAATGTCCTTGCATGGTATGTTCCGAACAAAAATTTTTGTGACCAATCCAATGCGCACCAAACTTTGCGCACATGATAGGCTACTTTTTAGGCGATTCGCCCAGTCTTTCTATCGATTAATTGATTTTTTAGTACTCCGCAATAAAAATGATCTCTTATCAACCGCTATCAAACCGATTGCACATTTGGTGTAAACAATAGCGAAAAGCTCATTCTCATTTCGTGGTCAAGAGGATGTGGTCAAATTAGATGCCGCTGCTCTGACATAGGCATTTGCAACAACAACGCACAAGCAAATGGGCATAAGCTGCCAGAGCTGATGGGGAGGGGGGGGGGAAGAAGTAGATGGAAGTGTGACCAAAGATGGAAAGACGCAGCTTATTGAAGCAGAACACTTTTTCCTCTCCCCTTTTCTTTCTTTTTCTTCTTTTCTTTTCCCTTTGCCTCCTTCTGCTCCACGGCTCTGAACCGGGCAGGATGGGTATGGAAGCTAATTTATAAATAAAACTCAATGTTTGTACGGTTCCGATTTAATTGTTTGTGGTTTATGGAAATGCCCGCCCTGAACGATTGAGGTAAAACTTTGCACAGTTACGTAATCGACCCTGCGATTATAGGCTATTTTTTGCAGCGATTCACAAAATCCTTCGATTGAATTATTGATTTTTTTGAATCTGCAGAAAATGAAAGTTTGACATGCTTTAACCAGTCATTCTCCAATAAACACGTAAGCAGAGGCGGCAGAGCTCATTTCAATTATAAGATCGGCAGGATGCGGCTGGTTTATGTCAAAGCACTTCTCGCTCATGTCGGAAGAAGTTTAAAAGTGTAAGTAAAACATTTTGATTGAACTATTCCACAGTCTTGAGTGAGACCGGAACCACTGGCTAATATAGAGCGCATGATTTGCATGACATATCCTGGGGGTATGCTTGCTCGAATAAGGAATTTCAAGCATTCTCGTGTTTCCTCACCAATGCCGAACACTATAATCTTGTTTACGATATACAACTTGATCAGTGGCGGTCCCAGGACTTCGGACGGGGGGGGGGGGCAAAGTTTTTCAAACGAAAGTGCGTGGCGTTATCCACGCACTCCGAAAAAATTTTTGGGGCACTTCTCGAAATCTTTGAGGGTCCATAACCCCCAAAATTTTAAAGGGGCAACCGGCTGGGGCTGGGGTCAGCCACCAGCCGGTTGCCGCCGCCATTCAAAATTTTCAGGGGGCTGTAACTATGCGGGGAGGAGGGGGTTTGAGGCGATTTAGGAATTAATTTGTAGGGTTTGGGATGTAGATGAGATTTACATGAAGAAAGTAGGAAAATTATGTGAGGGAGGAGAATTTTATGATTTTTCCATCCCAAGCCACCTCAGGTGGCTTCTAGGTGGCTTGAAAGCTACCCTAACTCCTAATAAAGTTGAGCACGCCTCCAGCTCACATAATTTTTTCCATAATTTTCCATACATAGTCCCATCTCCTCATTGTCCATCTACACACCAACGATATCTTCCTCCCCTTTGCTTTTTCCCCGAAAACGATATCCAACTTGTTTGATAAGCCACCTGTGCCGCGCCCTGTCGTCAGCTCTAATACCAACATCATCTGGCGAACTAAAAAGAAATGTGTATCAGTAGACGCATCTTCAAACGCTAATTCCAAATTTACTTTTCGTTTCTGCGAAACAACTCTCCAAAACAAGATATGACGTTTGAAGATCCGAAAATGCTCAAGACTTGAATGGCATAAAATTAGCAAAAAGCTGCAAAAACACGTAAATGTGGGTTTCCAATTTTGTATCCACTTTGTGCATGATAAATTTGGACTTTCAAACACTCGAAACTTCTTTCGGAGAACAGTTTCGCAGAAAAGGAAAGCAGGTTTGGAATCAGCGCTTGAAGACGTGTCTACACGTATACATCTCCCACCTTGCTTTTTCAGATTATGTTGCTGTCCTTTCCTTGTAAGGTAATCCTCATACAACAGTGGAGAACATTTGTTTATAAATGTTAGCTATGATTATCAAAGATAAGATGTTTTGCAAGTTTGCAAATGCTGAAATTACAGGAAAGGTTTTCTAGTGCCTCAAAGATGATGTTTCTATCCATTGCAAGCTTGCACAAGGCCTAAAGTCTTGATCCTTACTTCCAGTCGTTTTTCAGCATTTAGGTGCAGTAATTCTTGTTATAGAAGAAGATTGAGAAGCCCAAGAATATGTAATGCATCATTTTATGAGAAGCCATGAGTTTCGAAAGAGACTATATTTCAGGCGTAGACATAAGCAGTTATTTTTCCACAATAGTGTAGTGTGAAGATAGATAGACACATTTATAATTTTTTAGAGAAACAGGTTATGTTGTCAGACTAGAGTATTTAAGGTTCCTTTCCATGTGTAATTTGGTCAAATAGTTAGCTGAGTCTATGCGCTAGAAACCAAGCAGACACGATGTAATGAGGGAAGCTTTAATCCGGAGTTAGAGTTTCAAATAATCATTAACCACTCAGCTTTTTTACAGTTGCAAGGGTTTTCCAATTTCGAAAAGTATCGAATTTCGTTTAAACGGAAACAAAGTTGCCGACAAACTGTTAGTTTTTTTTCTGCAATGTAGGAAAAGATAACGGAGCAGGATACCGCCAGTAAGATTGTGTAAAATTGTTTATTCAGCTGCTAGCTTTCAGACCATCTTGTGTAGAAGGTCATTCTGTTGAAAACACCAAATGGAGGATGCATCATATTTCGTAGTTTTGTTTAACATTTTCACCATCAGGTTGTCCCATAAGTTCCGTCGTTTCGTCCCTTTTGACTTTGATCCGCAATTACTTTGCTTTGCTCTCTTATTGTTGCATTAGCTTCAATGCGCCGCGAGTTTGAAGAAAGAAATCGAAAAGAAATTGCCTGAAAAATTTTAAAAAATCGGAACTCCGTCTGGTAAAATCCTCAAAAAATCCTAACTTCACGCATGCACTTTTCACATGAAACGTTTATGTATGCCATTGCTGTGTTTTCTTCTAAAACTTGAAAAAAGAAATTTTATGCTTTTGCCAAATTCATGCTGTGCTGTTTCCACACAAGTAATTGCATACTGCAAGCCCCTTGAAGTATAAACGTAAATTTACAGGTTTCTACAAGCTTGGTTTCTCGAAAAATATGGATTTTGACGTGGAAATCCGATCAAGGGTAGCTTTATTTGATAAGTCTCAAAAACTAAACAAAAAGCTGAAAATTTCCCTTTGTACTTTCAAAGGATCGTAACATACATTTGTTATGTGAGAGCAGCTTTCAATTTGGCAAGAGCAGGAAATTTTCATCAAGCCAAGGAAGGAATACAGCAATGGTATACATCGTCTTATATGTCTTGTATGCGTGAGCATGTGAGGATTTTTGTAGGATTCTTCTGGACGGAGTTTCCCGCTTTTCAGGTAACTAATTATGGAGACTAGTGCAAAAGCAAGAAAGCCATCTTGTAGAGCTTGCTTTGCCCTATCGAATGGTAGTTGGGAGCCTGTTGAGAAACAAGAAGTGTTTGAGTTATTGCAAGTCACAAAACGATGAACTTATATAAAAGCTGATATAATTTATATTCACTCATTCTAAATCTTTTTCTGGCGTATTTATAGGATAAAGTACTTAAAAAAATAGAAAGTAAACTCCGAATGGCCTTCCAAAGCATACTTCTCATTTTTCTCAAGACTTCTATTCACATTTGAATTTGGATTTTCTATCTTCTCTATCATCTCTTTCGACCACAGAGATTTTTTCAAGCTGTTTTTTCTTTACGGAAAATTTCAGCTCAAAATAATCGTTGATGCCTCTAGTCCACTGAATCAGCCCGCATTTTCAGCGAGATTCAGTCATAAGTAAGACTGAGTCAGTGCTTAATAGGTCGCAAAAAATAGCAATAAATTTCTGCTTTTTTGATCAGAAGTGGAACAATTGAAGGTCCTACATAATTGTATCAAGGACTACCTGTTAGAAAGGAGCGTGTGTGTCAGAAAAATGCGTCTGGAAACTAAGTTTTGCAACTTCTTTCATAACTTCACTCTCTTTGGGTGTCGCTTTCAAACTTTGGCCACATATACAGCGTAATATGTGCTACAACTGCGCACAGACTGTTTGAATATTGAATACAAGTCAGAAAAATGCCGACATCTATTGAAAACTATGAATTTCGAGATTTTTGGTGTTATAAGCCAAAATGAAGCCGTTAGTAGCCTAAACCGCACATTGATCCAAAATGTTTACCAATCTTTGCTAGGGGTTGACCCATTAAGCTTAGTAAGAAGAAATGAAATTGAGAGCAAAGTCGAGACTCGATGTCCCTACATAGTTGAACGAGTGGCCGTACGCAAGGCTGCTGGGGACAACCGCTATTGGCTGAGCAGTCACAACCCCGGAATTCAGTGAAACTTTGCATTGTAAGGTTATTCGATCTGCCAAACACAAATATATATGCATGGAATATCACAATCATTTGTTAAATCAAACCTCCGTTCTTGCTATTGGTGAGACTCTATACCATAAAAGTAATCTCGCAGCAAAACCCTCACCATGCAATTTCAGTATCGTTATCGTTATCGTCATGTCGGATAATCTCCTATGCCAAGTTTCAACCCAATCCGTAAAATTTTATGACTCTTCCCCTCATACCATTTAGTTGGTATAACATAATTTGGCATGACAGCAGCTGCGCTTGTAGCTTACTTCATAGTCTATATAATGGCAAAATTTGAGTGCGCCTTATTAAAAGAGAGGAAGCTTATCGAAAAAGTTGCAAAACCTAGTTTCCATTCTGATAAATTTATAAACATTCAAAGAAATCATGCTAATTCAACCTTGAGTGCAAGTTTACAAAAGATAAAGCTTGAAAGTGGAAAAAAAAGTCCCTACCTTTGCGCTCAAGCAACAAGGTTGCTCTAAGTGGTCATAATTCTGTCTTTTTTGGATTATTTCCTAAACATAATTAAATAATAGTAATAACATGTTTATTACACTTGCAAGGTGCAGACCTATTTGAAAATTATAATATTCAATTAGGAAGTCAGCCAGTCACTTTATACGTCGAGATCTGGTTATGAACTGAGGAAAACTTTATTTATTCAATTGATTATTAGCGCGCAAAAAAAATGCGCATACGACTTGTCAAAAATGTAGACAATACTCTTCAGAAAATCTTGAAAAACGCAAAACAGAAACATAAAGCCACCACTTGATAATACTCAGCCAACAGCCATTAGGGATCAGTCATACCTCGTCCCGCGAGATTTCTAATTGCTACGATTGTTCATAATCGTTCGTAGGCGCATACTCTGCAAGCGAAATTTGGCATGTACCTATGAGATCACAGAAGCTATGCGCTTACGCACTTGAATTTCACACGCGGTAAATTTGCGAACATCTGGCAAATTGCCAGATCGCGTCTCGCCGCGATTTTGGAGGAATCGCGCGAGGTATATTCGAGGCCTTAGGGTTCAAAGGCAATACTACCAAACTTATATAAAATGAAATATGAGTATAGCATCCAATATCTTTAGGTCGTATAAGATGTATATGTTTTCTTAGTATCTATCCATTAACCTTACAATTCCACTTTTTCAAAGGGAACGCTATTTTCGCAGAAAAACAGAGTTGACTTTGTGATCTTATTACTAATAGAAATCATCCCTAGAGAGCAAAAGAAATGACTATCAATCGAGACCCCCACAAAATAAATCGATAGCCGAACACCTTTCTCTTCAGCGTTCTTGGGGAACAATGAAGAATAACTCACAATAGGCGCTGACATGCAGCAGGGACATTATCTTTCAAAGGAGTGTTTTTCGTTAGCTTTTTAGGCGATATAACTCCTATGTACAGGTTCTGTTTACATAGTCCATGTCTTTGTGAAAACCCTGAGGCAAAACTCCTTCTCTTGTCTTTGCAAACCATGCACGTATTTCGTTAATGTTTCAAAAATTCATCGTGCAATTTTTTTAATTTTTTGTTTGATCTACAGTTGTCTACATCAGACGTCCATCTGACGATTCCGCAGAGAAGATCTTATTTCCAAAAAATCAGGGGTTATCAAAAGTGTCTGCTTTTGCCTTGTGGAATATCTTGCTTTAATGCTAGAGGTGGGATAACTGTAATATGGAAAGCTCAACATTCGCCATTTTTTATTACTGTGAAGAAAGCAAAAAATAGATCCCAATTGTCAAATCTATGTACCAAACCCACATGGTACCTAAATATGCAGCGCCCTTCCCATTTGAAGTCAAACTGCTGCAATCGTGCGGTCGTACTTAGGAAATCGGCTTTTTTCTCCGAGAATATGAATAGAATAGAATTTTTACGTCGGGATTGAAAGTTATAGATAAGCGCTTGTGAAGCTTGATTCCAAAATGTAAAATAAATTGTGCACTTGAAAAACAGTAGGTTGGATCAGCTACTACTTTTTTGGGATGCAATAAGCTAGAAAGTGGTAAAAATTTATGGCAGATCACGTCCGTGTATCGCTGCTACATGAAATTGACATCTAGCAAAAATGTCGACTTTGATCTATCAGTGAGCAAAAACACATGAGTAAAATGGGAACACTAAAATACCTGAATGGTAGATTTTTCAACTTTTCAAACAAGGAATCCACATTTTTTGCTCACTATTTTGTTAATGCGCAATACAGCTTTCATATTAGTAATACTTCTCTGGACAATTTAGTTAAGAAAATAAAACACAGTCTGAAAGTGAACTTGTGGGAAATTTGTAGCCACTTTGCTCATAAATTATCTTAGCTTGTGAACATTTTTCGAGCTTCATTCCTAAACTGTTATAGTACTACTATAACATGAAAATAAGGCTTTTCTGGCCAATATGTTTGCCACAGGAACTACGCCCATATCTGGTTTTTTTCGAGGTGTTACTAAACATTTAGTTGTTTACGGACTGCTTTCACATACCGGTGGATCATTTGTTGAGTTGCTCTGACTTCGGTAAAAAAAAAGACGACAAATCAGAATACCGTAAAAAATATGAACTGAAAATTTGCTTTTGTCAGTTTTGAGCCAATTTATCGATTTGAGACAATTAAATAAGAATCGGGATAGCCGATTATAAGAAAACATTTGCACATGAAGCACAAACAAAGCTCATAAAAGCGTGACGTAAACAGAGTAAAACTGAAGCAAATCAAAGCATAGTCCTTCATCTTTTTTTTTCAGCTAATCTTTAGCCTATTTAATCGTTTACAAATCTTTTGTATTGAAAATTTTCTAATCCGACTCCAACCAGCAGGCGCCGAGCTGTATTGTCCCTGCTGGTGCTGCTCTCTATAGCAATTTTCTACCATCTTTCTTCTCCCGATTACATGACATCCATTTTAATACAAGTAAGCTTCATCAATTTGAAATTTTTACCTAATCGCCATATCGAGATTTTATTGGATTTACAGTTCATCGCAAAAGACGTGGACTCAAGAGTGAAAATTCCATTTCACGAATGGAAGCAATGTGTGGAAAAAAATATATCCGAGTACCGCAATGACTCAAACAAGGTGGGCGAAGTAGAAGAAAATTCAACGCTATTTGTTGTCAATGGCACCGCAAGATTTTACCAAAGAGTTCTGAAAAAACGCGGAACTCACAAGAAACTCTAAGAAAGGGACAAAATGAAATAACAAAATTTGGCGATGTCACATTCGCTTGTTTGGAGAAAAATGCTATGAAATAATATTTTATGTGAAACAAACCATGCTATAATAAAGTTCACGCTCTATTTTGCGCTTCTGTCACTGGACATCCAACATACTTGAAAAGCTTTACGTTTCAATCAAACGTTTTAAAAGTTACTACCTGCGCGTTAACTTCATCAAAAGCAAAACAATTTCGTTCTTTTTTGATGGATAAAATTATTCTATATGTGCTTTTTTCAGTTGTGGTGGAATCTTTGTAAAGGGGTAACGCTATGCGAAAAACATCCTTTCATGGCACGACTAGAAATTCTGGATTTTAGAAATTCCGACGAGATCAAGCGCCACATTCCTTCTTTGCAGGTCAGCATTCTAGCATTTTGTCGGCAATGAAAGGTTGCAAAACACTGGTTGATTCAGTCGCAATGCATTTGATATTCTTATGTAACTATTCAGTGTGATCATAACTGCGATAGTCTAAAGAGAGCCGCAAAAGTAAAGGTTTTTCGAAAATGTTCCCATAGAAAGTGAAAGTTGTCTAGTGTTCGATTTTCCGCAGATTCAAAAAAATCAATAATTCAATCGAAGGATTTTGTGAATCGCTGCAAAAAATAGCCTATAATCGCAGGGTCGATTACGTAACTGCGCAAAGTTTTAGCTCAATCGTTCAGGGCGACAATTAAGTTAAACTGAATAGCGAAATTAAAACAAAGTGCTTAAGTCGTGTAGAAACGCACAATAACTTTGAAATTTTTGTTTTGGCTGTAACTCGAATTGCTGGTTCGCTTCGGAATCATTCGAGCTTTTCTAATCAAAGTGGCCTTACCACATGACACCTATATCACTACGCGTCTTTGAGCTGATCCCAAATAGACTATGAGGAACAACTTTGTGGGAAAACTTATGAGTGTTTGAAGGTTCAAGTTTGTCATGCTATGAGTGGCCAATTTAGCGGAAGGCTGTACAAATACAGCTGAGAATGGCAATCAAATTTTCATTGAGTATATTGATTACAGACAATGAACAAAATGTGAAATGCACGTAGGAGTCTTTCACAGCTTTTCGCTACTTTAAGTCACTCAGGGCTTGACAAATTTAGACTTGCAAACACTCAAAACAGCTTTCGTAGTGTTGCTTCGCAAATTAGACAGGTTTGGAATCACCATGCAGTGCTCTACAAAGTGATATAGAGGTATGTGGAAAGGCCACTTCGACTAGAAAGGCTTTCTCTGAAGATAGAAACGAGCAAGCATGGAAGAAAGATTGCGTACTCATTCCAACATAGAGCGTAGGCAAAAGTGCACTTTTTGCTGCATTCAAAAAAAAAACCTCGCCAGAAAAGAGTAAGCTCGGCGGAGTTGTCTAAATCACGAAAAAAAAAACCGCGTTATAGCCAAATGGAAAGGAAGAATAGATAATTTCGGAAACATTGTTTTTGTTAGATTCCAAAACAAATGTAATTACGCACGGCATTAACGACTTATTAGGGGGTTCGCAAATATGGCTCTTCTGAAGCATATAAGTAGAACATCTTGCGGTTTTCACATTAGTAAATCTTAAATTCACAATAACATATCATGTTTAAGGAATATGATACTGATCAGCATTTCGAATAACAGCGTAAGTTCCATGCAAATGTGGGATGTCCTCATACGTGGAGCTACGTAACTCCATATACCCACCTATAGTAGCATAGTTTCTGTGATCCTAGCTATTCATTATTCTCCAACGGCGACTTTGCGAATATAGAGGCACGAACACAAGTCTAATACTTACAAAGACCAACCGCTACAGAGCTCCTCATCTGCTGAACACACTTTAGAGATAGCAAGCAGTTAGAAGGCAGCCTGCAAAAAAGAACAGATCAAAGTACTGGCTTGTATCAACACGAGTTGTATCCTCCGCAATTGACAGGTGATGAGATATTAATATGAGTTAGTGCGGTTTGGTAGTGATGGTGATATTCCATTAAATTTTGAGGATACTTAGAAATTTTGATCTCAAGCATTTGAGGAAGTTACAGTTTGTTGTTATGCTCAAATCAGAGCTGATGGTGCCACTGCTATTCATCACTTTCGAATGTTTTACATTGGAGTCAGTGCCTAAGCGATATGGTTAATCCACGCCTTCTTAGACTTTCATCTAGACTGCTCACCACCTCATTTCCATTGTGTTTGAGCAACATACTTAGATATGAATACATACTCAAAACTTTCAAGGATACAGCCTAGGGTGGATGTAAGGCTAGGTAACTCGCCTAACAAAGCGGAGCTGATCAGAGCATATCAGGTAACCCTTTGAGTCAAACCAGCTAATCGATGTCCGCCCCCCCCCACTGTGCAGCTACAGCAACAAGAAAAATTCTTCATCCTACAGAGTTGAAATTTGTCATGTCTGTCTTATAATCACGATTGCTGGAATTTGAGCCCTTTTACTGGCATGCGTCTACTCGCATGATAACTGAACTACGCCGTAAGAAAGACGAATAACAAAGTAGGCGAGCTAGACAAGGCAAGGCAAGATACTTGGCTCTACGTATCATATTGCAGCAGTTAGGATCCACTAGAGTTTTTGTACACAAACTTCTATACAGTCAGAGCTTTCATTGCAAAGTTGCATCCAAGTCTTGGTTCTTAACTTGAGTCTGAGTCAGCAACTATTTTTCTTTGGAGTTTACAAGGCAATTCATTTTGCAATTGTAAAAAAAAGAGTGAAGATTCAAATTGAATATAACATATCAACGAATCTGACTCGTAAATAACTCTATAATAGATGCTTTCCAGGAGAAACCCAGCATAATCGTAACACTAGGAATTGGAAAGGATACGGCTGCGGAGAAAGCTGTGCGAAAGGTTTGGAGAATCTACTAGAATAGAGTATAAACTTTTATATCTGAATCGCTGCTTTTTTGATCGCAAACTGGAGAATTCCCGTTTGCTCGCTTTATCTTCGCTATTTTTCTATTTTGAAGGTAATTATTATTTCTGCACTGGGCATGCGGATGTAAATTTTTAGTTCAGCATAGCTTAAGCAAAGCAAGTAGCTAGTTCAGCATAGCTTAAGCAAAGCAAGTAGCTCATTTTGGTTAGCTTCCCAAATATTTTATAGAAGTATCACCAGAGATTTGTAAAGAATCTTTGCGAAAAGCTTTCACTTTTAGGTGTTGCCGAAAGGCTCTTTATTTTATGGAGCAGATCCTATGCAAGAAGTTAACGAAGACCTCTTCAACAAATTAGGCACATACTTCCCATTTGCGGTTAAGGCAAAGTCGCAAAATTCAATAGCCAATGTTCTCTTCAATGGTACATCTGCGTCTCTTCGGCACCTCCGTAAAAAAGAATTTTTAGGCTCTTACGTAACACGCAGAGTAATGCACATTGACCTAGCGTACTTTCTTACAGAAATTATTGGACATAAAGTAGGTTTTTTCATGGTTGTTTTTGAGTGAGCCACATGCTCTAGCTTCTTTAAACACTGTTTAATGTATAAAATGTAGATCTACGATGATTTATGGATTGATGCAGAAGGTGCCGAGTATGAACTGTTTCCCTACTTTTATCGAGGAGGAAAGCTGGATCAACATGGGATTACATTGTGCCAGTTCAATATGGAAGTGAGTCCTCTACATGTTTACAGTCAACATGCATTTTCGATCTATGAGAAAATTTTTGCTTGTGTGCAACTTCGACCCCTTTAACGTTTTGAATAGCTGTGCTTAAATAAGGCTGCTTTGTGAGGAGGTATTATAGTTTCAAACCTCTACTATCACATAAATATCGTATAAGCTTCTCATCAGTATCAACATGTGACTACATACAATGCGTTTACCGAGGCGAGCGCCGCGTAGCGCAGTCACACATCTGCGGGCAAGCGTTACCGTACGCGCAGCGTGCAGGGACCATGCTGCGCACAACATCGCGGGCCATGTTTTTATCATTGTAACTCGTGATTTTCCGTTGTTTTTACCAGCGGATTGCATTTTTTTGCTTCTATGCTCACATGCGATCTGTCTTGTTACCGGATATTTTTTTTTGCAGCATAGAAAGGAAGTACCAAATCTTTGAGCGTTTTTTCTCATGATATCTTTCATTTCATCCAAGCCTTCTTCGGATGGCTGATTCCGAATGCCATGAATCATTATATCGACTCGTGTTCAGCGGCCATAATCGTATATCGTTCAGATTTGAGTGAACAGCGCCAACGCGCTGTTCAAACTGTTCTCTAAACCTGCACGATCTACGACTACACCTTTCGATATTCACCCTTTGCTCTAAGGAGAAAGAGCACCAGCCGTTCTTAGAATTCTCAAATGAAATGATAGTTTACATCTTCCTCAGACTTCAAACCTCCATTTGGTCTTCCATTCTCGCGGTGATACTTAGGGCCGCATGCACTAACATCCCCGCGGGGAGGGGATCGCAGCTTATAAGAAAGCTTTATATTTCGAAACTCCAGATACCTGTATTTCACGTTATGTACCTATCCGTAAGTATTCCTACTACCCTTCACTATGAACATGTTGAAGAGGAGCGAGAAGCTGTACGAACCGCATTTTCCAGCTTTTGTATGATCCCTGATGATCCCCAGCGCTTTTCTTTAAAGTCATTTTTCTTTCTCCGAAGTTAACGAAAAACCACCAAAGTTGTGCAGATTATCTAACCCGATAGTGCTAAGCATGTTGCTGATAAGAACAAATGAGTTTTTGAAAAGTTGAAATTTTCGGTAAGCCTCAAATTTCGACCTGTGGATCATCGCAAATTTCATGACTTCAAAACATCATTTGTTCTTAGCTGCAACATGCTTAGCACTGTCGGGTTAGACAATCTGCACAACTCTGGAGATTCTTCGTTAACTTCGGAGAAAGAAAAATGACTTTGAAGAAAAGCGCCAGGGATCATCAGGGATCATACAAAAGCTGGAAAATGCGGTTCGTACAGCTTCTCGCTCCTGTTCAACATGTTCATAGTGAAGGGTAGTAAGGAATACTTACGGATAGGTACATAACGTGAAATCCGGGTATCTGGAGTTTCGAAATATAAAGCTTTCTTTTAAGCTGCGATCCCCTCCCCACGGGGATGTTAGTGCATGCGGCCCTTAGAGAGATTTCAGAAAGTACCGAAGTAGTGTTTGAGACGGTAAAAACTCAGAAATATGAGAGCAGGACAGCGAATAAGCTAAAAAAGAAGCAGGAAGAGTGGCTAAAAAAGGACCACGCCGCCTTGCGCGACATGGTCGCTGCACGTTGCAGTCCACGGTAGCTCTCGCGCAGGAGTGTGACTGCAGTACGCGGCGCTGGCCCTGTTAAAGGCAGCGTCCAGGCAGATTCTCGACTTCTATATTTTTATGTTATCCAGGCCTATCCATGGCGCTGATTCCGAATATGGAACTCAAAAAGCGTGAATTTTACAGAAAACCACCTTTTGGGACTTTTTTGGGAAAACCCGGAGGAGTGATTTTGATGTTATCCTTGTCGAAAGCAAGTATTAACAGGTAAACGCTGTAAGTTCGACTGTGTTGGTCATGTGAAAACACGTCAAGGCTGAGGAGGTTTCGTTCGTAAGGGGTTGGGCGTTCGAGGGAAGTGTGCGTTTCGTCGAGCTTGGATCTGCCTGGACGCTCCTTTAAAGGCAGTGTCCGGGCAAAAACTCGATTTTGAGATTTTGTGCTTACTTGGGCCTATTCGCTACGCTGAATCCGAAAATGCACATTGTAGAGAGCGAAAATGGCGAAAAACGGCTCTAACACAGGAGGGAAAGGAGCAGGTGAGCGGGGTCCTTTCCACTGCGAATTCACGTTCCCGGCTTTCGGAGCGACCTTCTCGCTTCCGGTTTCAAGTCAATCATTCGCACTTGGCCGGTAGAGATGTTAGGACGGCTAGCGGAGTCGAAAAAACCGCTCCGGAAGCTGAAAGTATGAATTCACAGTAGGGAGGACCCCGCCCACTCAGATAATCGCCGGGAGCAGGGGGCCATGCAAATTTTGAGCAAGCGGGCACCGGAAAAATACTTCGCTGATTTCTTGCGGTCCGCTTGCAGAAATTTGGAATGATTTTGTTTTGAGCAGCAACACAGCATTTTTTGCAAGCGCTCGGCAAATAATTTCTTTCAGCGAGCGCTGGCCAAACTTTCAGCAAGCGCTCGGACTCTTTTTACGCAATTTCGGGCGTACGCCGAGAAAGAAGACTCTATGTGGCAGATGTGCCATCGATGGTTTTATTACCCAAATTTGGGGTCTTTCTTTCAGCGGAAGGTACCCCGGGCAGTGCGGTCCTTCACAAAGAACCGTGCGGCCCCCAACAATTTTGCATATTTTCGCGGAAAGTCCGCGAGAGTGCGGCCACTGGGCCGTAACTTATCCACAGAAAAACTGCGATAGTTCTCCGAGCGTCTGTCTGAAAATTGGCCAATCATTCCAAATTTCTGCAAGCGGACCGCAAGAAATCAGCGAAGTATTTTTCCGGTGCCCGATTGCTCAAAATTTGCATGGCCCCCTGCCCCCGGCGATTATCTGAGTGGGTCCTCCCTACTGCGAATTCATACTCCCAGCTTCCGGAGCGGTTTTCTCGACTCCGCTAGCCGTCCTAACATCTCTACCGGCCAAGTGCGAATGATTGACTGGAAACCGGAATTGAGAAACTCGCTCCGGGAGCTGGGAGCAAGAAATCGCACTGGGGAAAGCCCCGCCCACCTGCTGATTTTCCTCCTATATTAGAGCCCTTTTTTGCCGTTTTCGCGATTTCCAATGTAGATTTTTGGATTCAGCATGGCGAATGGGCCCGTATAAGCACAAAATCTCGAAATCGAGTTTTTGCCCGGACACTGCCTTCAAACGCATTGTATATGGCTAACCCTTCAGCATTACTATTTTGAGTTCCCAAGTTTCATTTTCAAGCGTAGCGAACCACAACGAAGGTTGAGATCTGCTATCTGTTAATTTATGCAGCCGAAAATTTGAAAACTTTCAAGCAGGGATCAAGTTTTGCAGAGTTCAGATCACTTGATCTCACTATTTATGGGCATGCAAATGAGTGAAAGTTGCAATCATATGTGTGGAAACATTGATGCAGTTTGCGGCCAATTTCAGCTCGATTTTCTGGAAATTTTTATCAAAAAATTGGCTGTTTTGCCTCCTGCTTTAGTTCTTTTTCCGAAAATCAGCTACTAGACAATGCAGAGCACGATACGATTACCCTCAGCTTACTCCTTTCAGTATAAAACACTCGCAAACAAATTCGTTCTGAACATTTCTACAAGCCATCAAAGAAACCAAAATTTTTTAGCCAACTCATTACTTTCTCATAACTCTATATAATAAACTTGTCTTTATATTCTTAACTGGTTTTTATAAAGTAACTTATTGCAAGGCTCTTGTTTTTGTTGATAAAATCAAGTAAACACTATGTGTCTTATGTAAGATGGGACCGTTTTCGTATCTGCGAGCTGTACACGATATGGCATCACGGCTGATGTGCGACGTTCCAACGTTGCTATGCTTCAAAGTTACAGTTTTTTTTCTTTTGACTTTGGAAATTCTACATCGGATACGGTCGCGATGAATTTGAAGGCAGCGTCCGGGCAAAAAGTCGATTTTGAGATTTTGTGCTTACCCGGGCCTATTCGCTATGCTGAATCCGAAAATCATCACTAGAGAGCGCGAAAACGGCGAAAAATGGGTCTAACGCAGGAGGAAAATCAGCAGGGGGCGGAGCGTCCGAAAGAGTGGATTCTCGCTCCCAGCTTCCGGAGCAATCTTCTCGGTTCCTTTAGTCGCCCTAACATCGCTACCGGCCAAGTACAAACGAGTGATTTGAGATTGGAACCGAGAAGATTGCTCCGGAAGCTGGAAGCGAGAATCCACCCTCTCGGACGTTCGCCCCCTGCTGATTTTCCTCCTGCGTTAGACCCATTTTTCGCCGTTTTCGCGCTCTTTAGTGGTGATTTTCGGATACAGCATAGCGAATAGGCCCGGGTAAGCACAAAATCTCAAAATCGACTTTTTGCCCGGACGCTGCCTTTAAGGCAAAGCCCGGCAGGAGGTGGCATTTCAGAATTTTGAAAACGATATCCCCTTCGAAGCCAAAATTTCTTACGACTTCCCCTTTGACCCTATTTTTGACCCCCGTAAGTCCCTAACAAACAGATATACACAAATAATAAGATGGGTGGCCTCAGCGCTTATTATAGTAGTACCACCTGGCTTTCCTGGTCCAGCCCGGGTCATCAAGGTTTCAGCTCAATGGGTTCATCCGCAAAGGAATTTATAAAAAACATAGAGTCAAGATTTGCACAAACTTTGACGTTTATATATCTAAGATACTACTCATTTATTAGTCAGCTGCGAAACTTTACAATTTACAATAACCGATTGCGATTGGAGCGCGCTTTTCGAGGCCGATCATAACGCTGTGAACCCTATTTGGGGCTGTATCGAAGCGGTGCCTTGGTAGTTTTGGAAGCGGATTTGAACATATAGTAATATTTTCGACCTAGTCCACATTTATGTAAAGAAATCCGGGAAATTATGTGAAGGGAAGCAGGAAGCCACCCCAAGTGGCTCCCAGGTAGCGCGGGAGCCACCTAATTTCGAAAAACACTAACCATTTTTTAAATTTAC